TAAAGGGTGAAATCCCAACTTTTATCTGATAGTGATCAGGCAACAAGTGCTACAGCAGCAGCAATGGCTGTGCCCAAGATCCCATGAAGGCAATACACTGCCCGAGCCTGAACCGAATACATGGGTCCCACAGCTCTACTCAGTACTTTGGGTAACAGAGCCAGCAGGACGAGGCTCTGCCTGCCCAAACAGCACAGGGGAAGGTCTTGTGGTGACGGGAGAGGGGCCGCATGGGGCGTCATTAACGTGTAGGTGTTTCAATGATAACAAGTCTGATGGGGCTTCCGGAGGTGGCACAGCTGATTCCCAGTGCGGTTGTTGTGCTGTGACACAGGCCACAGTGGGGGTTGTTAAACGTTAAGAGTTCTTCTTTTGCAAGGTACTTATGTGTCTCCTGGAGACGATGTTAGGGGCTGGCCATGCAGGACCCCCAGACAATACTTGGTGAAGCCCCTGGGGCTGTGAGCAAAGTCAACACAACAACAGGTAGTTCCTCCCCCAAGACAAGGAGAGATGATCACCTCTGCTTCTCTCCTTTCCTTGTCCACGGGTAGCCAGCATCACTTGGTCTGCAGCTCTCCCCTTCTGCCACAGCAGAGGAAGGATCCAGGCTTTACCTGTGGCTCCCACCTGCCTGCCCACCCAGGGACCCTCCGCAGGCTTGTACTGCCCGTGCATAGGGGGAAGACACCTTGTCACTTGCCCTGTCTACTCTCACATTTATGACAAATATAGCCCTTCTTCTGGTCGCAGGCACACACACAAATGCTTCTAGACATTTATTTCAATGGCAGCTTGTCGGGAATAAAATGTCAGCTCGTGCTGATGTTATGCTGAATCCGAAAATGTCTTACTGCGGTTGGGATTGCTAAACTGCAACTGGGATGAGAGACCAAAACTGCCCCATTTCCTTTCTTTAGGCATGAAAGGCATCATACAGAGGGCTCTTCCCAGTCACTGCCTCTAGCTCTTCCTCTGCCTTGCCCCAGCAAATATGGGACTTTGTCCTCTCCCACTTTCCCACGTTGCTCCTGATGACTCCTTTGTATCAGCACCTTTTGTCCAAAACAGTGAATCTGCAACTGTGAGCCATTGCTGGCGCCTTTCCGTCCCTGCATTCATTTCCTTTCTTGCTTTGCATCCATGCTCTGTCCTTTCACATGCCTTGAAGGCTCTGAAAACACCTGATGCCATTCACAGCAGGTCTGGATGTGCCCCATCTGAGTCGCTTTCCTCTGCCAAAGCTTGCCTGTGTCCACATCCCCCGTGCACTGCCCGGTATCTTCCCTTGTCTCTCACCTTGTCTCCACAGGAAACCACATCTGAAACGTGTTAATAGAGTAAGACTGAAAGAAGAGGGGTTTTTAACCATTAGTTGAGACAAAGTGCTTTATGCCCTGAGTTTCTATGCAATCCTGTAACAAGGTGGGTCATCTGTTTGTAGCAGTTTTGAGTGGAATGCATTTGCCGAGGGAAACCAGAGAACACACTTCCCTCTGGCACGAGTGCCCGTCTTTTCTCTTCCCCCTCTTCCCTTGGAGTTGCAGGGAAAACTAACTTTGACCCAGACATATGGGATGCATACTTAACATCCAGAAGACCTTGCAGTGTGGAAATAAAGAGGAAAAGTGGTGAAAAATTACTAAGTCACTGTCAGAAAGCAGCTTTTCCTGCCTTCCTGGGGTTCCGAGTGGGGATACACGAAAGCAGCTTTTCCTGCCTCCCTGGGGTTCCGAGTGGGGATACACTTGATGCAAAGATCCCACAGAAGGGCCTGTCCTTGTGTGCTTCACCTGAAAGAAAGGCAGGCAGTGTGCTCAGGCTGGATCAGGAACCTGAGGGCTCTCTGAGAGCCATGGAAAGAAAGGTGTGTAAGACACCAGCCACCAGGCTCTGCATGGGCAGGCAGCTGTGGGAATTGGGGTGCTGGCTGTGATGAGCCCAAGTGCATTCCCGCCCTTCTAAAAAAAGTGGCTGGACCACGGGGCACTTGCTGTCTCTCCCATATTTCTCCGTGGGATGGCACACGAGGAACCTCCAGGACCTTTTGCTCTTCCAGAAACATTCACCCTCCCCATCCCTCACAGCCTGCGCCCATCCTCTGAGGAGCAGATCCCTTCTTCCTCTCCCAGCTGCTTTCAGACCAAGTGCAAAGCTGAGCTGGAGGGAGGTGCTGCCTGTCAGGGCCAGTTGCCTTCCAGGCAGGTTGCTGCCCTGCTTCTCAGCAAGGACTGCACTACAGCATCCCTTTGCAGAGCTTTCTGCCTGTGTCCAGCTGCATGCCTTTGCTCAGCCAGGAAACTCCAGGCCAGCACACAGCACGAAAGGCCCCGTGGTCTGCGTAGCGCAGTGCTGAGCCTGCTCACAAGAAGAGACTGCTCAGTCCTTGGAACGTGCCTGGCGATGGGGTCCATGCAGCCTTTTTTCCCTCTGACCTGTGGCTGTGAGAAGGCCCTAGCAGCTCAGCTGCTGGCAAAACACCGAAATACAGCAAGGGACCCCGAGCAATCCCTCCACAGACTCTTCCCCACTGGGGCAGTACCAGGTGTTGCTGCTTGAACAAAACTCTCAACTTAGGGGGTGCTCTCTCACACTGGAAGAGAGGCAATTGCTGTCTCCTGACCTCCCCTTTCACCCTTTGCTGCCTAAAAATGCAAGGCACGCTCCAGGCACTGCATGGCATTGCAAAGGCCTTTATTATACCCTTGGACCATAGAGATGGATTTGGCAAGAGCCTTGCAAGCGTGCCAGCCCTTGCCTTGCCAGTGTGGGGAAGAGCTTCTGCTTTCTTCTCACTTGGCAGCAGCAGTGGCCCTGGCAGGTGCAGCCCTTTGCCCAGGGCACCTCTTCTTACTCTTGGTCATCTTCTTTTTGCAGGGTGAGGCCACAGGCTGCCGTTGGGGGACAGCCCTGCCGCGGCGCCTGGGCACGCTGCCTCGCAGAAGCTGCTTGAGCACAGAGCTCTTTTGCACCGCCCTGTGCAAGTGCAACGGAGAAATGCGCTGCTGATTGCTCTTCTTGGAAATCTTGCCGGCAGCATCCATGGTCTTGTGCGTCACCCACTGCAGCACCGCGGCCAGATAGACGGGAGCGCTGGCTCCAAAGCGCTCAGCAAAGCCTCCTCTGCGCAGTTGCTTGTCTACGCGGCTGACGGGGAAGAGCAGCCCGGCCCGGGAGGACCGGGAGGAGCGGCTCTTTTTGGCCTTTGCTTCGCTGCCTTCGGAGGCGTCCCCAGAACATGTTGCTTCGGGCTCCCTCTCCTGCTCAGGCACCATGCAGACCTCCTCTGCCTGAAACATGCTGCTCACAGCTTGCTGCTGCCGATGTCTCCACACTGGGCCTTCCCGTGTGCCCTGCCTGCCTTGCCCGCCTGTCCTTGCTTTCCTTGCTGGCTCTCACTGATGGCTCCTGTCTCTGGGCTCGGCTTGCCTGGGCCTGTCCTTGCCCGCCTGGCCAAGCCTTGTCCGGGGCAGGCAGGCTGGGACTGACCTCGCTTTGGTGGAGCCCCGCTCTCCAGCACAGGCTCTGGCCCTTTGCTCACCTGGGCAGTGGGAGCAAGGGCTCTCCCGCGGTGGCAGAGGCCAATAGGAAAGGACTTCCTCTGTGACCTCACCTCTCCGCTTGTCCTGTCATCGCCACGGCCTCGCCCTTTGTGGATGAGCCAGGGAGCACCTCTGCTCCCCAGCTCCACTCTGCTTTCCACAGTCGAGGCTTTCCCAGCCCTTGGCACAGCAGGAGCTGCTACAAGGTCCAACACTCTCCTCTGCGTTCTCCTGCCTGGCCCTGCCCTGGGACAGCTCTCCCTTCAGCCCTTGCCTCTCCGCTTCCACCCAAACCCACATGGATATTCTTGGGGAGAGGACCTCCTTCCTCATGTCAGGGGATCCCAGAGCCACAGGCTGCCCAGACATGGGTCCCATCAGGTTTCAAAGAGCTTCATGGGTGGAGTGTCCGTGACCTTTCTGGACAACATCCCTGAACACTCTCTTCTCAGGGTTGAACAGGACCAGTTCTCTCAGCTCTTCCTTCAAACAAAAGCCCAAACTTTCCCAAACCTTCCTCATCTCCTTCCAATGACTCCTTCCCTCCCCCTTCCCTCTTCTCCCCTGTTGGGCAGGGCAGGGTGGAGAGTGACCCAGGCAGGAGGAATCCCAAACCAGCCACGATGCCTTCTGTGGTCAAGAAAAACACAGGTACATGCAGTGTGACTGCCTGGGGCATGTGTGTCTGGGCAAGGCTCTGGAGGAGAAATGCCTTGACAACATCTGAATGAGTGCAGAATATTCCTGCCTGCAGCACTGTGTCTCCTATACTTCACCCTAGGGGAAATGCAGGCAATGTGCTTTGCCTGGATTTTCATCCTGGGGTCTCTTCAAGTGTGTTCTATCAAAACGTGTTAAGAGACATTCACATTTGACTTCGGCACATTCAGCCTTCTGGGCTTTTTGTACCAATGTAAGTATTTTTTCAGATGTCACAGAGGAGTAATTTTTTCTTTTTGTACTATTTTTTTTTACTAAAAATTAATTCATATTAAAACATATAATTAAGGTACTTTGTAAGTCCACTTCCTCCTCACATTGCCCACAGTGTGTTTCACACTTTCAACTGAAATAGTAAAGCCATGTCTTCCCCTTGGCCTCATCTTCCTCCCATGTCTTTTCAAATTTACAGTGGCTTGCTCTTACACTCTTTGATTCAGGGACACAGACTTTGTAAGAGTATGTGGCAGCCTGATGAGATGCAGAGGCTGTGACTGTCAAAGGGTGGTAGATGGACTTGCTTTCCTTTTATCCAGGTTGGTTCTATCAGAGGTGTGGAGGAGATAAATCAAGCTACTTCACAGAAGAGCAATATCTCATGGATCCAGAGC